ACGAGTATTTGTTTTAATTTTTACATGCTGCTTTGTTGAACTTTTCGATGAAAATGTTTTTAGATTTTCGCTTCATTCTTGACAGGCAAAGCAACAAATGTTTACAAGATTTGTGAAAATATATCAACTTTCGTGACTTCAAGGGCTCAGAGCTCCGCCCACTGCGTTTAATGAAGCTGTCTGTGTGATTTTTCAAGAGCGAGACACAAGCGAACGCTTTGTCACCCTCTGAAACTAACAGAAATCTTGAAGTTAAAGTTAGAGCAGGGGCTTTCGTGAGAACCAGAGACGATGCACTTCATTTGTTTCACACAAGGGGATGCCAACTTTCTCGCTCTCCTATTTTGGGATAATCCAGTCCGACGTCGTTGTCCGTCAAAGTCAATTGCATTGAGCAGTTTCCTAACAGCAGTACTTAATATGGTAATTGGCTTCAACAGCAGTGAATCTAAAGTCTGCTTACGAAGAAGCTGAAATCTAAGTAAGTACACGAGGCAGAGATTTTACCGAGAAGCTGTTAGTCGCTCAACTATGATTTATTAGCACAGGATTCATAACCATGTTCACACAAGATCGATATTCGATCGATTCTAGTTTACAGATTTATCCTATTTATTTAAGATATTTTAATATTATCATTCTATCTACTCCGGAACTCCTTTGTATCTTCGCTGTAGTCATTCTCCTGAGTACCATGTTCTCCACTTCCCTCAATCTACGTTCTTCAAAGAGAAAGACCAAATGGCCATAATCATCAATCATCGCCCTGATGATAATCATTCTATAGTGACAACAAATAAGCAGTTTCATTATTTCTCATCTCCCTGATGATGGAAGCAACAAGGACCTCTGAAACGATGGAAAAATTCTACTCGACTACACGGGGATACAACAAGAAGACAACCATCTTCGGACTTACCGCTGAGATTACCTCAAATCTTGCTAAATGTTGCTGAAAATTCTTAATATAACGAAAATCCGCTTAGCGTTTCTCGAATTCTTGCATCGGAATACATTAACGAGCAGGGATAGCGAATCTAATAGGCGGAGTTGTTGAAAATTTCAGTAGCTGACGAGCAGACGTAGGTACCAAATGTCCTGAAGCAGGGGACAGGGGTTTGTCTCCTTGGCTCCAGCAGGAGATTCCCTCCTCAGACATTTAGAGACTGAAAGGTCATATTCTCCGAGTATCCTGTTAGAAGTCGAGAGGCAAAGGGCAAGAGAGACGCGGAAATTATGTAAGGCACGACTAAAATTTTTTAGTTGGGTGAATTTTTAGATAGAATTCTGAAGGCTCAGTTTATGATACATATAAATTAGCCAAGTTTTTGTGTTTATGTATCGGGAAAGCGGAAAAAGCAGTTTAGGTGTAGAAATTCCGGACTCGCAACAAATCCCCGTGTAGAAGAATTGTCTTGTCGTAACGGGACTGATGTCTACCAAGCCAGTCATAAATTTTCCCTTGTATTCGTATGTCCATTCTTTGTGCGAATTTGTGAGATGCTTCTTCAAGTCTTGCAGATTTCCACCCCAAGAACAGTTGACTGCAGGCACCTTGAAAATGTCAAAATAATAAGAGCACCTCAGTTGTAGAAAAACATGAGTGTGTGAACTGAAATATCCTCTTGATTGCCCTCACCCCAAAAAAGTTTGTGTCCATTACATAAAAGGGCGGATTTATAACTTGTGTTGGGCAAGGCCTTGGTCTAGGCAACACGGAGTTTTCCTCCGGGGGCTTCCCCGGTTTCTCTGTGGCATCCCAACAATTACTCCATTCACACACAGAAGAAGGCAATGGCAAGCCACTTCTGGATCATCTGCCAAGAACGTATATGAACAGGTCCCAGTCCGAGAAGAGAAAAGGATGGAAGGATCCTGTTCATATGGACCTGTCGTCAGACAGAACACTACAAATAAATAAAATAAATAAAACGGGACTGTTAACATAATGTGCATAAATAATACACTTAGCGTACTGCAAGGAAAATCCGATATTGAGGAAGGCAGTGTTCTGAAAGCTATAACAAGTGGTACTCGTAATTCCAAGTACTCATTATCAGTTTTCAAAACTCAAGACTTTTCCTAAATACAAATTTTGTGGTTGTTGTTGTATGCTTTTTTAACTCTTGTTTGAGGCTGTAGCATTCATTCTGTCGATAAAATTATAAATAAAACATAAATATGGGACGAAGGTGAAATAAGTTTGTAATGATGCTCAGATTTAAGATTCTCACGATAGCGATTATGAAGATTTCTGTCTTCTAGATTGTTGCGCCATGTAGTCTGGTAGAAGTTTACCGATGTTTCAGAGGCACTTGCTGCCTACACCATCAAGGTGCTGATTGTTTTATATCAGGACCCTGCTGATTTCAGCCGTGTTGCGCTGTTAGACCTCATTTTGGCACGGGCCTGTCAATTGATTCACTGCCCCTGAGATTTGCGTGCGTTATACGGTGGGTTATAATCACCACGTATATGAGGCTTGAGAGACTATAGCTGTGTTACTGATGCCATCATCAGGGTTTCATTACCCGCTCTCGAAATTGTAATTATTTATTCAACAATATTGCTGGTTAAAGGTTTCGCGTTAATTTCCCCAACTGCGGTAATACCCAAAAGGCTATGTAGCTGTAATTCTGACGTCATTCAGCATTTACGTCCTAGTGTTATGACGTTACGTATTATGCAGAAGTTATGGAAACCTAACCTGTCTTCACGGCGGTACAACCCAGAAGACAGCCATCTTCGTACTCGCCACCGCGAGAACTTCAAATCCGAGTCAGTGCTGTTTGTTACGAAAATCGTGTGTGGAATCTGGTAGAAGTTTACTAACGTTTCAGAGGCACTTGCTGCCTCCATCATCAGAGCGATGAGAAATAATGAAATTGCTTGTCTGTTGCCACAATCGTACGACTGTACGGGGCAAAGACATAATCTAAGCTGTTTAAAATATTTATTCAATAGAAGTAAACTTTTTTTTTAAAATCTTGTCAGTCTAATCACAATAAAATTCCTATTAAATATTAAAATATTATCATAATTAACATTTAAATATTTAAAATATATTAAATGATATTCTCTATCGAAATGTTCGATTTACATTAGAATATCACTTTTTACACGACATGTTTCGGCTCTAAAAGAACCATCTTCAGGTGTATAAAATTGTATAAACTTAAATATAATTTCTTAAATGAAATTTAAAATCTGAAAAACGTCTGACTAAAAAGTTGCATTTAAGAAATTATATTTAAATTTATACAATTTTATACACCTGAAGTTTAATAGGAATTTTATTGTGATTAGACTGACAAAATTTAAACAAATATATATTTATTACAATATGACGCAACTTTATCATCTCAGAAGTAAACTGTGTAAAAAACCCGCCAGTTTGAGGTACTAACCCGGGATTTGCCTCTAGGCTCACATCTGTTCGTATTAAGATGGCGACTCAACCCTTGAAAACGTTTTGTAAGCTCGCTTTCCATTCACGAAATCTGTGACCACTCTTCGACGGAGTTTTCGGAGGAAATTCCGTAAAATCCTCGCATGTACGAATTCAGTTCACTTTCTCGGGTTCAGCCACCATCTTATTGTCGTGTCTACAGTTGAGCTTCTAGTGATTTCGTTTGGAGTTGATCATTTCTTATCCCACATGAATTTCTCCTTCCAGTGATGCAAGTTTTATTTCTGTATGAGGTTTTGTTTTTGACGTAGAAATGTTTCGAACTCCTTCCGTATATGGGCCCTGACACACATGCGAAAGCTGATGTCACGATACGTTATAGTTATTTCAGTGACGAGCAGACTCAAGCGACTATAGTTTTATGGGTTTACAACTGCTCTCAGCCTTCGTACACATTTTCGTATGACAGTCATTCATACAGTATTAGTGAAGGGCTCGTGTTCTGTTGTGTTGCGGTTTGCATTCAAGGCTTTCGGTATTGTCATTAAACAGCAATGAACTGTTTTGTCTGACAGTTACGTAATGGCATTGTTCATTCAGTGGGGGAACTGGAATTAATAGGTTCCTCCATATTTTCTATGCAGAATGTGTGATTTTGTCTTTCAATAGGCCTACACCACAAAATAAATTTACATAGAAGCAGAATGTTACTGCGAGGAAATTCGATATATGATTATATTTAGAATTATATTATTAGTTGCTTTATTAATTTATTTATCATTTATTTGTTTTATAGTTAGGTAGTTAAATCGAGCATCTTATTACTGGTTCATTTATTCTGGAAGGTGGCCATCTCTAAATACTTATTCCTGAATTCACAGTGATTATGAAAAATACGCTGTTGTGTGTACGCCAGACAAGTTCATATGCGCGCTAGAATTCTTTAAACCGATGGATTAATTAACAGAATATCGTCTTATGTTATCGTTTGTTAACGTGTGATTATTTTGAAAGAATATATTTTGTGGGAAGGAAAGAGTCTTTTACGTCGTCGATCTAAAGGTGATATTGCGAACCTGTAAAAATATAATTGCTTCAGGATATGTAAAATACATTTTTAAAGTAAAAATAACTTTAATCAGCAGTAAGCTTTATTATCGCTGGTTAAGTAGAAGTTACTTTACAACAGTATTTTTAATTTTATATAAAATCTGTTTCTTGCCTCTCCTAAAAGAACACAAGAGCAGACTGACAGCTTTACGTTTGGATCGCGACTGACTTTAAAAGCCGATAGTCGCTTATCTGGTTGAGAAATTCCCTGTCTTTTAAGAAGCCCAAAGTTCCATAACCCTTTTCACAAGAATCCACCACTGATCTGTATCCTAAGCCAGCTGAATCCATTCTTCAACCCCACTTTGTTATCTTGTTTAAAATATAATCTAACATTAATCTCTCATCAAAGTTTAGGTGTCCTAAACGCTTTCCTCCCATCAGATTTTCCGTGTATTTGTATGAATCCATTTATCGTTACTCCCATACGTGCTACATGCCTCGCCAATCTCTAATAATATTTCGTCGTGTCTTGGCGCAGGTTTATGCTGGTGTTGGTGTGCCTCATCTTCAGCGTTCTCTCCACAATTGAACAGCACGCCGATTTCGCCAATGAAACTCTCTTCTGGATGGTGAGTTGACCGACCTCAGCCCTCGTAACTCACCGGCACACTGTCAAAACGTCCTGTCTCATACTGCATGCTGTAGTGATGTGCGGGTATAATGCAAAATCAGCTTCTCAGTGTTGATTCTGCTCCAAATGTGAACATTTATATATCTCTCGTATAGTTTTGTTCGATTTATTATATCGATTATCCGTCATCGATTTTTGTTAATTTTGTATCGATTATCCGACTTAGAGTTTCGTTCTCGACTGTCCGTCGTATAGTGTCGATCGTTTTATATCGATTATGTTTCATAGAGTTTCTTTAATTTAATATCGATTATCTGTCGTATCGTATAGTTTCGTTCATCTCATCGATTATCGTTCTAATCGTGAAAACGATGTATGAAATCTGAAATACTTTTGTATATGTCATACATCTGGGATGTGAATAAATTGTCTCTAATATCAGAACTTGATCTTGTTGTCAGAATGTCATTTCCACCTCGTCTGCCATTGTGAATGCAATAGTTTGTATTAATGACTGTCACTTTCAATATTAATTTTAAATGTCAAGGCGTAATGCCTGTGTTCCATTACGTGAGGCAGTTTTATTGATTTTTCATGAAGCCATTGTATAAATTTATGAAAGGCCTTCTTATCTAAATTTTAATTTACATTTCAGTAGTATCGTTTCACGTCTAGGTTTCCAGAATTAAAAATTTAAATTCTCTAATAAGAGGTCAGAATTTTTAGAACATGATTTATTCATAACTATTGTTGCACGATTAAGGATTATGGGTACAATACGAAATCAGTTAATTTATATATGATTAATATTTTTAAATATTTGAAGTAAATTTATTCAAATGAACGAATTATCTTGCTTTATATTTTATCCACATTTAGTGACATAATATTGCCGCTAAATATGAGAATATTAATTTACTAAAACCCTTTAAAGCTAAGTAAATAAATTAACTCTTATCAGAATTCAACGTTCGTAGTCTTATATTAATTCAGAAAATGACGTTTTTAATAAGCTAACCATATTTGGAAACTCCAACATTTAGACAAAGAGAACCTCAGAAAGTAACCGACGTCGGACGTATGACGTATGCACTTCCTCTACAATATCGTGACATATTAAATTCTTTCAGGGATAGGTCAGTTTCGTTTCGGTGGCTTCATTCGTAACACCAGATAAGTTTGGACATCCCTAAGTTAGATTCTTGAAAACATACTCTAATTTTCCTTTGGGAGAAATTACTATAAAATCTAAGCATTAGAAGTTATTATTTTAATGCTCTATTGTAATAATTATAAAATTCAAATTTGAATTGAATTTGTTAAAAGTGTCGTGCTCGGTTGTTATTAACAGGTTCCATTCCATTTGTCGTAACCGCAGTATTGCAATGCTTTTATTCGTGTGGATCAAATGCTATGCTCTTTTTAATTATTATTATGGCAAGGTTTTAAAGCCATAAACACAGGACAGCAAATGATTATATAGAACAGAGCTCTTAATAGAGTGCGTGCTGCCCTCTTGCGTGATGTGGAGTAAGTAACGTCTACCCTCGCTAGGTGGCGGTGTTGGAGGGGTATGAGATCGATGTTTGCTAGATTAATCTTACACAACAAGAAAAAATAGCCATTTAATATTGCATAATATTCAAGATTAGTTCAAATGAAATTAAAGAAACCTGTATTTCTTTATAAATAAGGAAATCATGCTAAAGTTTTAGGATAGAATTTACAGAATTCGGAATATTTATCTTGTCAGAAGATTGTGGAAGTTTCAGGCACAGATATGTTTATTATAGTATTTGAATTATGGTCTTTTTGGCTATAACACAGTGAAGTAATTACCAATGTTTCAGAGGAGCATCGTCTTCATGGCTATAACACAGTGAAGTAATTACCAACGTTTCAGAGGAGGATCGTCTTCATCTTCAGCACTTGGCCACTACCCACAAGACCGCAAGCCAAGTTATCACGGTCACGACAATATTAAATGTCATATATTACAATAAATTACCCGTTATTTTGTATGGTTTATAACACGCGTTTCTGCTCTGAAATAAGAATATAACTTGTCACTGTTTCAGGGGAAATTACTTATTAACGAATTTTGGAATTTAAACATTGTCGCTAGTGTTATGTTACATACGTAAACGATAATAAAACTTAGCTTAAATGTCGTAAAAGAGAAGTGTGCGAACTCGGTTTTGCGGGCGAAAATATTAAAATAGATTTTATACAAATATAACTCGTCTGGTGAAGAGCTCATATTATGTCATCATCCTCTTCTCGAACATCTTCAATCGGTGTTCTTCCGTCAGATTGAGAGGCCAATAAAAAAAAATCTGCCATATTTTGGTAAAAAGTGAGGAAAGGAAGAAGAATTATTTCCTTTTTTAGAGAACTTTCCCAAGAACTTTGTAAATGTGAGTACGATATATTGACTTTGTCTTCTGTTTTCAGACGCCCTATAGTCTTGTAGATTTTTACCAGCGTTTCGAGGAAGAGTTCAGTGAAGATGGAGGCGGTATGTTCCTCCAAAACGTTGGTAACCTTCTACAAAACTATAGGCGTCACAATCCAGAAGACCACAGCTGACATCTACATGGCCGTGAGAACTTCAAATCTCTGCAAGTAGGGTATGTAGCAGGGAAAGTTAGGTTAGGTTACGAATAAGACATAGATGAGGGCTTTGAGGCTTTACGTGTCTTGATGGATATCTTGGTTTTGTAAGTGCCATAATCAAGAAGGAAAAACATTACTTCTCAAGCACGCGATTGCATGGGAAATACATCCAATCAGTGTATGTGGTTATATTACGTCATAATTTCATTAATGTGTCTAATTTGATCTTCGATAATGTTCAGACAAATCGAGTTTCTTGTTTAAAAACACGGCTATTAAAATATAACTTTAATTAATTTGACTTAAATAACAACCTCCGGTAAACATATATCACGTCACTACAAAAGTGAAACATATCTCAGCTAAATGAACGTAGAAAGTTTATACATCTGAAAAAAATGTGTGTTGGCCGTGAAAGCTGATGCAGGTGACATCTCTTGTTTTTTAATTGTATTACTGGGACCACTGATTAAAATAAGTCCGCGCAGAGAGCATTATTCTTTGTTTGCTTAGCGACGTAAATGTAAATTATGGTATTTTATATCGTGATATCAGCAATGAGAATAGATATGCATTGTCGTAATATAATTTTTATAGCCGTTTAAACCTCAGAACTCATGTGACTTGCGGTCACGACAATGAGTCTTTGAGCTGATAATGACAGAAACGTCCGAAGGGGGTCAGTGTATATCGAAATTAATTTACCCCTTGAAGCCGAATCCCTCACCATTACCCATTACAAAGACCAACTGATTGAAGATGTTTAAAGAAATAATCCCAGTTTACAGTTAGAATTATATGAAACCAGTAAGTACAAAATTAAGAATGGTTAAGTTATTTTCGAACATATTTATGCTGTTCAAGTGAAATGTTAGTCTCTTCATACGTTTTTCTATTCCAGGAAATATGTTTGGTCGTGTTTTTTGGTGTCGAGTACCTTGTTCGACTCTGGTCTGCTGGTTGCCGGTCCAAGTACATGGGATTCTGTGGTCGACTCAGGTTCATAAGGAAACCAATATGCATAATAGGTGAGGCTTTCATCTCAGGTCACCTGACTTATAGTTCTAGTGACTCGTGTAGTTCATTAATTTTTTTATAAATCACAGGTGCACGTTACATAACCTCATTTCACTGCTTAAACATAAACACTCGAGTTGTAGTGTCTAGTATTCGCTTCCAGCCGCCAGATGGCAGTCAGACTGCTACCTTGAATCGTCCGATTTTTTTAAGTGCTTTTTTGAGGCTCGTGGAGGTCTGAGACATTTGTTTGAATGTTAATTTCATCAGACAAATGGGATATTTCAGATCTGATAGTGGTGGTGGCTTCCATTGTGGTGCTCTCGGTGGGTTCCAACGGGCAAGTATTTGCCACGTCGGCCATCAGGGGAATTCGCTTCCTGCAGATTCTGCGCATGCTCCATGTAGATCGACAAGGTGGAACGTGGCGTCTTCTCGGATCCGTTGTCTTCATCCACAGACAGGTCTAATCCCAATAAATCTTTCCTCTGATTTGTAGAAGTTACATTTATTAATACATGTACTAAAATATGAGCTCAAATTGCAAAATAGTTTTGAAATACTGCGATTAGGGCCATGTTTGGAGAATGATTTATGAGTTAGAATCTAACGTTATTACGAAAGATAGGTTATGTAAGGTTATAATACGTAAATGAACAGTTTATGTTAAGCGACTTAATGTTAAAATGTGCCGCGTTTTATATTTCAGGAGCTGATTACGACGTTATACATCGGTTTCCTAGGACTCATCTTCAGCAGCTATTTTGTGTACTTGGCAGAGAAGGAAGATGACGGTGACTTCACTAGCTATGCCGATGCGCTGTGGTGGGGAGTGGTATGTGATAATTTGCTCTTTTATACTTTCGTATTTTTGGCTCTAATTTAATCTATAACTTTGACTTTCAGAGATGAGACACTTTTAAGAACGAAAAAAAGGGAGTGATTTGAGATTATTTTAACTGCCGTTTTTTTTTAAACATTTCAGCTGCTGTTTCTTCTAATGTTGAATTGTCTGTACTGTTGATATATTTGTCAGTTGTGTCTGTGTGATTTTTTATTTCTTCGTAAAATCTTTGATCCAACACGCAGTTTTTTTTTAAAAAAAAGAAGTGTCTTTTTAATTTTTTCATGTTGAGAACCCAGCTTCACCCCTTTCGTTGTTGTATTTTAATAAAGGGAGAAATAAAAAAAATATTTAAATAGTAAATTAAATTCCTAGGCCTCCAAAGCCGTTATATACATGGTGATTAAAGAAATCACCTCATTGGGAATCAAACCCGAGCCACTCACACTTTACGAAACGTGCGTCCGGCCAAATACTGACCACGATTAAGTTTGCCAATTTTTATTAGACTTGTGAAAACACAGTTAACAAACGAAAATAAAATTCTGTATTATAAGGAAATATTGGAGTGACGTGGAGGGTTCACTGCTTACTGCAAAATTAAAATCAAATTAGAAGGCTTCAGTTAACAAGGTACCATACAAATAAATCTTAGGTTATGGGTTGCCTCAATTTTTTATCTTCTTATTGCGCCATCTCTGAACGAAGGTTGGCGATCAAAATGGCGAACACTGACCTCGAGCCTTCCGCTCGAAAGATGTCTATTGAAGTGCATCCGAACCATCTTCTTAGGTCTTTCATCCAGGAGTTTTGGGGTCTAACGACCGATATTTTTCCTTGGATTTTACCCTCGATGATCAGTCTTAAGATCTAATATCGTACTCCTCTCGTGATACGGCCCAAATACCGGACGTTTCTTCCCTTAAGCAGTAGTTCCTTTTGCTTATTCATTGAGAACTTCGATGTTAGAGACTTTTTTGCACCCAGGGTATTCGTAGTATACGTCGATATAAATACGTTTCGATTGCTTCGATCCTTTTCTCCGTGGGAGAATCGAGAGTCGAGCTCTCGAATCCATAGAGAAATGTAGAAAACACGTAACATCTAAGCATTCGAATCCTCTGTTCTAGACTTAGTTCCAATTTTTTTTATCACTGCGTATTTATTTGAGTTGTGATCACATTATGAAAGTGATTGTTCGCTTAACACCAGAATTCTTGTGATCCACTGTTCTTTTTTTAAAAAAAAATCGCCTTTGTCCTGCAACCTTACTGTCGATAGTTCATTTTGTTTGTGAAATGGTTTTGTTTCTTCGTTTTCAGATTACTGTGACAACCATTGGCTATGGGGACACTGTACCCAAGACCTGGATGGGAAAAATTGTTGCATCTTGTTTCAGCGTTTTTGCAATATCTTTTTTTGCTCTGCCTGCTGTGAGTAAACGAAACGAAACAATATTAATTACTTTAATTAACAAAGCTTACTTACCAGTTACTATATTCATTCTCTCATTCATAACTAACTAACTAACTAACTAGATGGCTTAGGGAACTCGAAGGTTCATCACCGAATTAACCAAAGCCCTCCACCGGACCCTG